TTATGAGGCTGCAGCTGCAAAATGTAGCTCTTGGGTATTTAGATAATACCGCCCATCCACTTGCCACTTCCCAATGGCAAGCTACAGTGGAACATCTATACAGAAGACCCCCCAAAAATGATACTTAAATATGGGAATAATTGAAAAAGTTAATATATACTTTGTACTAGAAATATACTGCTTTTTCGTAACTTTTCCTATTCCAGCTACAGACAATCCAACTTTAAGGAAGCTTCTCTGTATCCGTATCTCTCGAGTGTGCAGTTTAAGTGAAGCGCAACGGCAAAGAAACAGTTTAAATGCTAACAATGCAACGGTTTCGGGTCAAGTATTTCCATTTTTCCTTCTCGTCCTCTCTGTTTTCCATCTCCTCCCCCACCTCCCTCGTTTTCCCGGCAAACGGAAACGAAGTGTAATGAAAGCGTGTAAAGTGCAAATCGAAAAGGCAATACAAGTAACGAGTACAAAATACTTGTACCCTCTGTTCCGCCTTCCCATTCTTGGCACCCAGAATTTTCTCTAAATTACCAATGTCGGAGCCGGGGGTGCCAGGACGATAAGGCTAAGGTGGCCAGGAGGCACATCCTGCCAGGTGAAACAAGGTGAAACGAAAGGAAATGCAAGTTTCTTCCACGTTCTAAATGGGTTTCCCTTTTTTTTTATTTTACTGTTTGCGTTATTTGTGCCCACTTTGTTGTGTGAAAATTATAACTTTAATTAAACGAATTTAATTTGGCAGCCGGCAGATAGGCATCCCTCTAATGCCTTGGACTTGGCCCAGAACGAGAATGGTTTTTATTTACTTTAAGCCTAAACAGATTTCCATATTTCATTAGCATTTGGTGACCACAAAAACCGCCAACGAATTAAATATTGATAATTGTTTTTCCAAATCGATTCCGCGCCCAGTTTTATCTTCTATATAAATTTAAATATATGCGAGAGTATATGTATATATAGCAATTACATAATCCAGTGACAGAAAAAGAGTTTTGTTATTGAGTTTTTTTTTCGAAATTTATTGCATATTTGGTTTGGCACAGGCTGTGAACTCGCCCGGGAATTGCCCGGGGGCTTAGAACTAACAATTCAAAATGCATTTAAAGCCGTCGAGGCGGCGCGCCAAAAACGGGACAAATGAAAAATTTCAATTAACCACAAAAACCGCAAAAAAAAAAAGGAGAAAAGAGGAGGCTCTGAACACAAAAACTGCCAACCATTTTGGCTAAATCATTTTCCTCTCTCGCTGTCACGGTTTCCCCCCTCTCTCTCTATCTTTCTCCCTCTTTGAGAAGTTTTTCCGGCTTGCATTCTGTCCGTAGGAAAATCCTTTTGTCGTAACTATGCGTACCCTGGGCTGGAGCCACAATTAAATGCATTCGACAATGCATTCACCTGACCGACGAACCACCATCAGGTCGACATCCGTTCATTTATTCATTGAAGATTGGCTTTGGCCAATCAATTGGCCATGGAGGTGCCCGGTTCATTTCGGTGAGGTTTTTCTGGCCATGGCCAAATCAATGCAACCTGCGGTACCCAAATACAACAAAAAAAACCATTGAAATCAATGCGAATTATTTGGTTTTCCAATTCGTTACACTTTGTTAATGACAATCCCTAAACACTTTTTGTTTTTTTGGTAAGATTTTTGGAAATGAAATAATTTTATTTTGGCAACCGCCCACACCCTCACCGTCTGACGTTTATTGTTCATCATATCGACATCAATCCCGGGCATGCCGGGGACCGCAGCGGAAATTTATTTTATAACATACAGGCGAGCAACACCGCAGCTCATTTGGTGCCACGAAAACCGCCAATTTGGCTCCGTGTGGCAAGCAGCATTTCAAATCGCACTTTAATTTTGCATATAGAGTGGGTGTGTGTGTGTGGGTGTGTAGGAGTGTGGCAGTTGGGGGCGTGGCATGGCCCACTCAATCGTTTTCGGAGCATTGTGTGTTGACAAAGACGTGAATAAAAATTTATGCGCACAGAAGTATGCTATACGACATGCACATAAAATGATTATGACGATTATGCTTCGGGAGCAAGGATGCTGAGATCCTATATTTGCACAAGAACATGAACAGCCATCATTTACAGCTGCGGTCATATTACATAATAATTTCTTAAATTTTTTCTATTTGTTTTATTTTCCTTTTCTATAGAAATTTACTGGAAAAACAATTTTTGTTTTTTGAAATGTAATCTTAGGAATTGTGGTTCATCGTTATTAGAAGTATGTTTTAGTAATTTAAATTAAATAAAATTTGTTTAATAATATAAAATATTACTTAATAATTAATAATACTTAATTAATTACTTAATAATTACTCAAAAATGTTAAATTGTATATTTTTAGGAATTCTGTTTCCTACAATAAAATCTACTAAGTTCTAGTACCACAAAGTAAAAAAATATTTTAAACTATTCATTTAAAGTTACTAAATAAGGTATAATCTTATTAACTAATTTGAATGATTTTAATAACTGATTTTCACAAATATTGTATCAAGGTTTTATTAAATGAAGGTTAATTAATTTTATTCGCTGTTCATTTATGGTTGCTTTTGATATTAATTAATTTTGATGATTTAAAGAATTATGGTTTCTGTATTTATCATAACTAAATTAACTACTTAAATTAAAATTAAATTAAATAAATTAATAATTTATTATTTTTATAAATGTTAAGATAATATATTTCATTCACTTGTATATATTTCTCAAAATCTACATTGTTTTTCAAGAGTATTATTTCTCTGACCTTTGCTGTATGTAATCTCCACACTCACTGTCTCACACGGTCCCCACATTTATTGACACAAATTGCGTTTTGAGAACGGCATTTGGCAGCCGTTGTTCCGTTGAGGTCCCTCTGCTTCTCTGCTTTTTATTAAGGCAATAATAAAATATTCATAAAGATTCAGTTTATGCTGCGATAACAACGAATATATTTTAGAATAAACGTCCATTAAATAGGTTTCTTGTGGCTGCAGCCTACACAATCGATGGTTAAGTGGATGGTGACGAAGAGATCCCTGCTTTATTAGCCCCTCGTCTGAGTTATTTTGTGGTCGGGACTAATACTTGCCTTAAAACTGTGTTTGTGTTTTTTGGGGGCTCAATCAATTCCAGGACAAGCTGTGCGCCACACAATCATGTCAAGAATTCAATATCAAAGCGCGAGAGCAGCTGTCACTGATGACATCGGGGGAATGTCCACGATTTCATCAGTACCCCACTCATTCGCCTCATCCGCCATGGCCTTTCTTTCAATGCCATTGATGAACAGGCTTAGAGTGCTTGGCGGTTGCTGTTGATGAATGGTGGGTGGTGGGGAAGCATCGCATTTTGATTACAAATATGAAACATGTTCACACAAATATGACGACCTGCCGCCCCTTGGAACCCCGGGCCATCGGTTTCCACAGCTTCCTCAATGGCGTGTGTATGGAGTGCACTTAATGGCGTTCCATATCGGTCGGTGGAGGAGGACGAGGAGGAGGAGGGACGAAGGATGCGAAAGTCAAGTTAATATTGAGTCAACTTGAGTCAATTTTGAGTGAGTGGCGCCCAAAGACACTGAGACAAAGTGGGCATAATCAGTTAAGAGTTAACTTAAATCAACAGGAGGAACATTTCGAACCTCAACATTTAGATTATTAGTTTTTATTAATTATATTTCTTTTATTTTTATAATAAAGTGATTGAGCAATATCATAGCATCATAAAATCTTGAATAATCCAATCCTGAGCACTACGACAACAGCCTCCAAAGAATGCTTAATAATAATTCCATCCAACATTATTTAAAATCTTAAATTCATTGTTTTAAATTAAGCTATTATGTTAGGTTATATAAGTATCCTTTTTTTTACTTTGTCGCATGTTTCCATTTTCTTTGACATTTTATAAGACAAATAAGAGTAGACCCTTGTTTCTTTTACTTTCTATAAGAATAAAAAACACTTATTTAGCAATGCTAAGAAACTAATAAAAACTTATCACATTTCGCAGAAATATCATTTAATTAAACCAGATTTTTTAACAGTGCAGGCAACCTTCTCGCTGAGATGGCAACACCCGGGGAAAATTGCAAATAGACAAGATCTTAGGCCATTAGGTTTAATTGCCAAAGTTCTGGTGCAACAGCCAGTGAAATTGCAACTGCAACTGCAACAAATAGCGTGGCTATCAATATTTCCGTGGCTGCATTTGATTTCCTAATGCATCCGCACCGAAGGATGGAGTCAAGTTGACAGGCAGAGAGGGAGTAACGGCCTTCATCCGCCACCCATCCGACCCAACCCTCAACATCATCCTTGTCAACGATTAACAATATCCGCTTCTCTGCTCCGGCAGTAGGTCGTCCTGGTCGCTGCTGGCCTGGTTCGGGGCTTGGTTTTAATTAGTGCAGCCCCGAACGTATTTTCTATTGGCCAATTCACCGCAGAAGCTTCATTACCGACTCTGCCGTGTGTGTATCATTCGCTCTGGGGTCGTGTGTTTGTGTGCCGGACAGATTGTGAGTCATTAAGTTGATGCAGCAGCAACTACAACAGGCAGCAACATCTGCGGAAGCCACACAAACAGGCAGTTAGGATTGCCACATGCCACGCCCACAACGGCGGTTGATGATTTCCTGGAGGGAGCTCGGGTTCAACTGTAACAGAATCGGTATCCGAGAGCCGGTATCATCACCCAGTATCATCAGAGCCCGGATCAGAGCGTACACAGAAACCGAACTGGAAACAGAAACATGTCGAGAGAGTTAACCTTTGTTGGCGGTTACTGCTTTTTGTACGCCGGAAACGGCAGAGCAACTCAATCAGTTTTTGCGGTTTACGGTGGTTGGTGGCCCCGGCCAAAGAGGACACGCTAATGGCTCACAAATGGCACTTGAATAATTGAAAGCCGGAAACGGAGCAGAGCAAAAACGGAGGCGAAATGAAGCGAACGGATTTAGCCAGCATTGCAGCCTGCACATGTCATTGTCCATTGTCCATTGTCAGGTTTTTTTTATATACACGTTATAGCCATGTACACAAATTGCACTCTTCAACTACAAATTAACTACGAATTGTACTAACTAATCCCAGGAGGGGGAAGTCTAGAGCGAGGCATCCTTCTTGCTTGCCTGACTGCCGGAAGCCGCATGATCTGGGTCCGAATGCGGTTTCTCTTTGTCCTGCGGCTGCTCCTTCTTCGCGTTCAGTTTTTTCTTCTCATTCGTAATTAGCTCCTCCAGCTCATCCTCCCAGCCGAGAGCTTTGGCCAGAGCCAGGACCCCAGCATCGCAGTCGCCCAGAAAGGCCACATCCCTCGTGTTGTTGGGCTTATTGTAGAGCAGCGATTGCTCATGCGGATCCATCCAGGGCACAAAGCTGGCCCGACCCACGGCATCGCGATTGATCAGAAGCCGCACGCATCGTGGTCCCGGCCGTTGGACAAGCGAAGCAAATGGATGCACCTCTAGGGAAGTGCCCATGATAATCAGAAGATCACAATCCTTGAAATCCTCATCCGGACACGTGTAAAACCTGGGCGGCAGATTCTCGCCAAAGAAGACAATATCCGGCTTGACCACGCCCTTGCAATTCTTTTCTCTGCAAGTGGGCAAGCGATCTGCAAAGATCTCCGCCTTCATCCAGGCCATGTCGTACTCTTTTTGGCACTTGAGGCAATGGTTAGTGTGGAAGCTGCCATGCGCCTCTATGATCTTCTCATCGGGCAGACCCGTCAGCCTGTCCAAAGTGTCGATATTCTGTGTATAGTGACGTTTTAGCAGACCCTTGTCGTGCAGCAAACGGACAAAGTAGTGAGCCGGCGTGGGTATAAACGAACCTGGGTACAGTTCCTTGGCCAGGGCAAAAAACGGAGTGGGGTTCTCCTCAAAATAGTCCAGATCGAAGATGGCCGTGGGGTGTGGCAACTTGTACTTCTTCAGGTTGCTGTATAGCCCAGAGCCTGGTGACCGAAAATCCGGAATGCCAGCGGCTAAAAAGAAAGAGAAGAGTCATTCTGGGATAGTCTAAGGATAACTATTTAGTCGAACCCACAGGTGGAAATACCAGCTCCCACCATAGTCACTATATTCCGGAAACCATGTTCTCGCCAATGGTTAGCTAAGCCCTCAAACGACAGGTCGGGTATTACCTAGAAACCATCAAAGTTCTCTAATTAGTATAATTTATATTAAATACGATGAACGCTCACCTTCTCCAGTTTGGGACCTGCTTTTGTGTCTGTTGTGGAGCCTCCAAGATTTAGGGTGTGAGAGAAAAAGCGACGAATCATATCCATGGTGGCGCCGTCTGGAAAACGAGGTAAAATAATGGTTAGTTAGTGACAGTAAACGCTGTGTTTTTTGTTTTTGTAACGCACCTTGCCCGTCCTCTTCTTCGTCACTGGACGAGGCATTCGCTGCCGCTGGTTTCTCCTTCTCCTCCTTCGTTTTTCCACTATCACTCATGATTGGAATAATCCCTGCCCTCGGATAATACAGATATCTGAAGCTGCGTATTATTTTAATAGCTCCCCCGTTGTTTTGGTTATTTGTTTTCGTTCCACGAAAAAACGATAGTTTTGAGAATCAGTGCTATCGATAACAGCCAAATGGACTTCAGCCTTTAGCTATAAAATAGCTGGATTTTGATTTATTTTTTTTGTATGAATTTGTATGTGAGAAAAATAAAATATATTATTATTTTGCTTATTTTAATACTATATATTTATATACTATATTTTATTAAGACAAGCAAATTCACAAGAACATGGATTCCATTCCACAATGCAACTTGTAGCCAGTTTCTGACCACCACTGAGTGCAACGATTATTCGATAGCTATTATTGGCGCACCCTCCGATATGCACTGCGAGAGGCAGCCCTGGCCTGCCACTCTTGCCCCGATTACTCGATTTTCGAAAGGTTTTGCAGCTCTGCCGTTCGCCCAGCCCTGGAAAACCACGCCAGTCATTTTTGTTTTGATAAGGATACGGATACAAAAAGAGCGTGGCCTGGAAAAAGTGCAGATATAGGCGAGAAAACACTGCAATTTACGGAGAAATCGGTGCAAACAGTGCGGTGGATAGTGCGCGAAATAGTGGGCGCGTATTCGAGCATTCCCGGGGCTACATACGTGGAAGGCAGCGTGTGGTGGCGGAGCAGAGGCGCAGAAGAAGAAGAAGAGGCGGAGGCAGCAGCAGTGGTACACAGAAGAAGAAGGCGAAGCACGGCGCAGACAGCTAAAATAACAAACCAGGGAAGAGCCCGCGGAGAGAGTGGAGAGTGGTGCGGTGCGGTGCGGAGCGGAGTGGAGTGGCGGGGAATGGCTGTGGGCCTGCCGTGGCTGCCATTGTATAACGCTGATGGGCAGACAATAGTGCCGCGCTAAGACTTAATCTCGAATACCTCGCAGCACCATGCATCTGAACCATGCGACTGCCGCCACAGCAGCCATGGCCAACTACCAGCACTACCAGCTGCCCGCCTCCCACGGCGGTGGCGGCGGTGGCGGTGCAGGAGGAGGCGGTGGCGGAGGAGGGGGCGGCGGCGGTGGTGGTGGTGGCGGTGGAACTGGCCTGCAACAGCCCACGACACTAGCCAGCCTGCAGCAGAGCCCGTTTGCCCTGCATCAACTGACCGCTGTGCAGGCCATTCAACATCCCACCCACCAGGCCATGCTCCATCCACAGCACCCGCTGGTCCATTTGCTGGACATCTCCACGACCACGGCGAATAGTGGGGGCGGAGGCAACGGAGGTGCCGGCAATCATACCCCCATTTCACCCATGAAACAGGAAGTGCAGAGCGTGATCAGCGAGGAAGAGGTGGTGGTGGACGATCCGCGCAAGAAGAAGCAGTGCCACGTGTGCAAGAACAAGTTCCGGCAACTGACCACGTTACGCAACCACATGAAGATCCACACGGACGAGCGGCCCTACAAGTGCAAGCACTGTGACAAGGCCTTCCGCCAGATCTCGACGCTGACCAACCACGTGAAGATCCACACCGGCGAGAAGCCGTTCACCTGCAACATTTGCGCCAAGGACTTTCGCCAGCAGAGTACGCTGATTAACCACATCAAGACGCACAAGGGTGAGTGTGTGGCATCTCGCTAAAGATGTTGTGATTCCCAACTTGACTCCCTCTCGTTTCTTTTTTTTCTTGAGCAGCGGCAGAGTCCAGCACGCCCACGTCCCTGCTGAACTATCAGCCGCAGCCGGGCAGCGGCAAGCATCGAAAGTCGCAGATGCAGGTCTACCAGCAGCAGCATCAGCGTGTCCAAATCTCAAAGACCCTGTACTCCGGCAGCTATAGCTCTCCGGCGGCCGAGGAGCTGGTAAAGCCGTATCAGTGCAGCGTCTGCAAGCGCCGCTTCCCGCAGCTGACCACGCTGCACAACCATGAGCGGACCCACATCGATCCCAAGCCCTACAAGTGCGAGACGTGCGACAAGTCCTTCAGCCAGCTGGCGACACTGGCCAACCACAAGAAGATCCACACGGGCGACAAGCCGTACACGTGTTCCTACTGCCACATGCAGTTCCGCCAGCAGAGCACCCTCACCAACCACCTCAAGACGCATTCGCATCAAATAGCCGGCGGTGGAGCAGGAGCTGGAGGACCCGGAGGATCATCAGGAGGTGGCGGAGGAGGCGCCGTAACAGCCACAGGTGAGCCGCTTGTGTGTTCGCCCTACCAATGAGCCGCTTTCTGTTATCACTGTGTGCATTGATTATTAACGCTCTTCCCTAACGAAGCTTTTATTTAAATCTTGTGTACGCATGCTAATTCCATCAAATCATCCAATCCAACACGAACCAACCAACCAACCAACCACCTGCAGTGGATCACTCAATGCCCACAACTCTGGCGGCCGGGACGCAGCAGCTGACGACTGGACTGTTGCCGAACAACCTGCACGGCAATACACCGAACATCATCCAGCTGGACCATCATCCGCTACTGCATTTCCTCGATGGCAGCACCACGGTCAGTTCGGTGGTGGCAACGGCGGCGGCCGTTACAAAAGTTGAGCACTTCCAGCCCGGGGGAAGCGGAGCAGGAGGTGGAGGAGGATCACCGCCGGGACGCATGACTATTGTGGGTAACATCAATATGCTGAAGGGTGACAATCCGGATAGGCCATTCGGCTGCAGCGTTTGCCAGCGGTTCTTCTCGCAGCAGAGCACCCTGGTAAATCACATCAAGACGCACACGGGCGAAAAGCCGTACAAGTGCAAGATCTGTGAGGTGAACTTCCGGCAGGTGGCCACGCTGAACAACCACATGAAGATCCATACCGGGGAAAAGCCCTACAACTGTTCCTACTGCCCCAAGCAGTTCCGGCAGAAGAGTACGCTGCAGAATCACCTCAGGGTGCACACCTGCTAGACCTGCCAGACTCCAGATCGCCAGGCAGCCAGCTAGCCAGCCAGTTAAGCAGCCATTGAGGAGGAATAGTGCAATATGCATGCCACATAGCACATACACAGTTATAGATCGCATATACGGCATACGAATACGATGATTACATGAATACTATATTTAAATATATATACTCGAAAGTGTTATTTACCTGCTGTGCAGAGCGCAATTGTATGTAACTATATATCGCGTAGAGAGCCGATCCACATGCGTGTCCAATTGTAAATTAAGGCTAAAACCATATTCGCATAAGCCACGAATGATTACGATAACGATGATGATGATGATACAGGGTGTGTGTGTTTAAGCCTAAACTCTACAGCTATCCTAGTGTAGGATCGATGCTCGAGGAGCGTAACCTTTAGACCATTCTAAGCCATTTTAATCTAAGGTTAATTTTTATCTTACCATCAGCTCGGATTTCTAATGAAACTCGTTAACAAATTATACACATTTTCCTTGTAAATTATACAAGTTATTTAGGCTCTTATTTTCTAGTTCTGATAAATAAAAATCGTTTACACTTTACACATGACTTAGGTCACCTTAAAAGAGTTGAGCTTCTTTAGAGAAATACTTTTTAATTAATTTTAATTTAATTACAATATTTTATTTTTACTTTTCACTACTATTTTCTTTGTATATTACCTTTATAATAACACACTGAGCTGTTTTAACTAGGAATATGTATTCCAAGCTCATTGGAAACTCATTCTGGACAGACTTTAATATTTGTTCTTAATGAAAAACAAAGCACTCGTTATTCTCATATAATTTAGTGATTGTTGAAATTTCTAAAACAAAAATGGTTTGGAATTGCCTAAAGTTTACTCCCCGTCTCCGATCGATTTCGATCCGATCCCTTAAGCTATATCCCCCCATCTGCCACTGTTGTCGATCCCCAAAAGCCCCAGTCCCAGCCTATTAGTTCCGAGTATCGGCTTCTATTCAGCTTTTCTCGTCGTGTTAAATGTTAAGCCCGCCAGCAAAGTAAAGTAAATTAATTAAAAAGTAAAACTAGTTATTGCTATACTACAACAACAACTGTGTGTAATCCCCGCCCCGCCTCCCGCTCTAAACTTACGAAGGAAATCGAAAAACAAGCAACTATTTATATAAGTGTACTCTTAGCGCATATTTAGCAGCATCTTCTACTCACATGACTACAAGCGGAGCAAAGGCGCGATCGCACATAAATAATAATCAATAATACATTTAATGAACGAAGGAATACGAGAAAAAAAGAAAAAAATAAAACCGGGTTGCTTATAGAACAAAAAATAATACTTAGAAAACGGAGAGACAAGAGGTAGTCCCTATATTAAGTGAGGCGATGATCAAGGAGGAGAGAAAATAAAAACAAGTAAAACCAGCTACTATAATTGAATTGACCGAGATCGTAAATGTTGTAGAGAATATATAGTATATATACAAAAAAATATATATATAAACTACTTGTAAATGTAAGCGAAGCGAAGAGCTAAAACAACAATAAAACATGCAAAAACAAAACAATTAAATACGAATAATATTATGATTTTAAAATGGAATAGTTTTCTTTAAGAATATGTTTAATTTGTTAAGAATCACACTTTTTTTGAATCAATTTAAAAGTAAACAAATCAGAATTTATAGAAGCTCAGGGGAAATTTTCCTAATAGAGTTAATAGGGTCTTATCAGCATTACAACAATTACAATAGTACAACATTACATCAATGAACAACCCATATATTAATTTATTTGTATTGTGTATAGTTAATAATTTATTTTCTTATTCAGTATATAGTTTTCTACTTCATTTTTTAAAGCAGAACCCCCAGCACTATGAAAACGCACTTAAATTTGATTTGAAAAAGGGGAATTTATTAAAAGTTCTTTTTAAGGACAGCGTGGCATATCAAGTTTGCAGGTTTTGAAAGGGAAAAGGGACAAAAAGGGGGGACTGTGTGTGGCTGTGTGTGTCTATAAGAGATACTAAAAGTAAATTACTATAAGCACTTTATTGCATTTAATCTCTAGGGGTATGTTGCACTGCGTGTTTATTTTTTTTGTTTTTCGTTTTGTTTTGGGGATGGCAGAGAGCCTCTCGAGCATTGTTCATTTATTTATTAACTATAAATCGTGTCAGTTAATGGTAGTTACATGCCTAAAGTAGGAAAGGTGAACTAGCTAAAATAGTCATAGCATCTTGGTTAAATTGGAATTTTTTACGAAATCTGGTGCTGCAGCATCTAGGCGAACGTGTGTGTGTATTTGTATATTTATAATATATATTAATTCAATCGTCATCCTAACCTACCCAGGGTGAGGATTATACATGGAAAAGATACTTGCACTTGGACGTTGTCTGCCTGGGAGAGACTTGGATTGTTCGGGATCTTACGCACGACAAACACTTATATTCCTATGTACATGGAGTTCGTTATTTTATAGATGGATCTTCTAGCCACGATTCTCGCTCCATATCAAGATCTCTCACTTTATGTGGCAGAAAATGTACAATACAGCAAAAAGACAAAAAACATTCTCTTTACTCTAGGTTGTGTATATATGTATGTCTTCTATAGGTTGACCAAAAAGTATAGCTTAAGCCTAATACCAACTGACTCCATCACTCCACACTCCACCACAGCTCTATTTGAGTAGCCAGCGCAGCAACAGACTAACTAGCAGTCCAATCAAGGCATAAATCACCGACTTCACCACCGCCGACTGCGAGACACCGCCGCCGAGCATGTTATGCGAATGAACACTTGGGTGACCATGCGGCGGTGCAAACTGCATGCGTTCCAGACGCTGGCTTATGTCGTTCAATTGCCGCGAATGGATCTCCAGAACTCGATTCACCTGATCCACGGCCAAGGTGAGTCTGAAAAGTAGATACAAGAGAATTAATGGTTTGTCCATAAATTGATTTTATTTAAAAAATATATATCAAGAAGAAATTGGTTCGATATATCAGAAAAAAAGGATTTATCGCATATCGTCCGTATATCGCAATGTTTAAAACACCGACTTATGCATAATATCGGACATCGCTTTAAATATCGACACATTACAGATAAATCGTTATTTTCTTATATCCCCATTGTGAATAATAACTTTCTACTCACTGTTTTATGGCACTGGATGAGCTGCGCTTTACTACTCCCTGTGGCGACTGACTGGAATCCGAATTGGTGTCACGAGGTGCCAGTACTAAGCTCTTGTTCTTAGCCTTGGGCGCTATAGAGCCACCTGCCTGTACATTAACAGATTGTCTTTGACTTCGCGATAACTTTTCAACTGGGCCACGAGGGGGATGGATCCCATCGGTACCATGGACAATGGGCACCGATTTATGCTTCGTCTGGGTGAGCACCTTAAATTGGCACTCATATTGACGCACATCGTTGCGCGGATCCCAGGGCCGAAGATCGGCGTATTTGTACATCCACTGGCCGTAGTTGTCCAATTCAAATAAATCGGGCATATGTGTGGACTCGGTACTGGCTCGCTCCTTGGCACTGGCTCGCTGGTGTTCCTCCAATTTGGTCTTCTCCTCGGTGGCGGCCACCTGATCCTCACGTGCAATCGCATCGGAGACGTGCTGCCACAGAAACTGCGACTCGTTGGGCTCCTGTGAATCGATCGGCACCATGTGCCGTGTTAAGCGCTTGGAACGCATCTCGGCATCTGCTCTAAACAGCAACGTTTCCTCTCCCGTCTTGGTGTCCTTTATCCGACACTCCTTATCCCAGTGACCATTGATGGTGGCCAAGGTCTCTTTGCCCATCTTAATCTTGCCGACAACAACATTGGTTGCATCGGCACCGCCAAGGAATGGCTTCAGCTTGAACTCCAGCTCCGTCCTGTAACCGGTGTTCTCGCACTCGATGTTTATCTTTCCGCCAAGCTCCATGGAAAGCGTGCCCATCAGAATGCCCTTGCAATGGGCATACGGCGTGGTCGCCGTATAGCACTCACCGCGCGGCAGCAACGTCATCGTGGCAGCGCCCTCAAGCACTGCCGAGGTGCTGTTGCCGTAGAACTTCGATTTCGCCAGGATGGAGCAGGTGATGCTGAAGCCGTCCTCACGATTCGTCACATAGAAAGCAGATACGGGCGGATGATGGGAGACCTGTTCCGCAATGTAAAAGGTGCGGCTGCCACTGGGATGCTGCCAGTAGCATCGGAATCGTTCGCCCAAAATTGGATTATAGGGCTTCTTTAAGCCCTTGGGCTTCTTGTAGAAACTGGACAGGTACCATTGCACGACTAGCTTCATGCGCGTGAACGCATCGTCCTCCTGCACGGCTCTGCGATTGGAAGAAGATTGGAATTACTAGTATATTCCAAGCGATAGATAAAGAGAAAACCCACTTGGAGAGCAAGTCCGCATGATAGTACGAATCTGATAGCTTATCCAGAAACGAGCGCGGCTCCAGGATGAATGTGGGTAAGACCACCTTGCTCAGATCCATACCCGGTCGCACCTGCTTGACAATGCACCAAATTAGGCTCTTGTTCTCCTCAGCCAACTCCTCTACCTGCTCCCCTTGCTGGAAATACAGAAGAAGTGAAGAACGATAAGTCCAACATGTTTAGGCAATTCTTGATACAGGATCAAAAGAACAATCTGCCATCCCTTGTTAAGGATTAACTCCGATTTACTCACCTCGCCAAACTCCTCTTCGGCGAAGGGCACATAGGTTGTCTCCTCACAATCGTGGTCCATGTTGTCTTCCTGCACCGGATCTGCCGGATCTGATTCTGATTCTGACTCCAGGCCAGACAAAACCGCATTTGGCGCCTCATTCTGGCTATCAGCGTCTAGATCTGCAAAGGGAAACACACCTATGAGGTAAGACAGTTCAAAACAGCGTCATAAGCAGTTCACGGACGTTTTTTTTTTTTTTCTGGCAGCCTGACTACGCCATTAGGGGATCAAGATCCACCTCACGGTTGTCATAGGGCGACTACTGCAGCACAAAAAGTTAACCATACGTAAGGAGCGAATTGTGAAAGAAAAGCTTAGGGAGCCCCCTATTGCTAAAACGATATTATTACTAGAATTTTGAACAATAAGTTCCAAAGCTACTCAGATGTCTGATGAAGATATTGATGATGATATCTAGCTTCAACTTAAAAGTGGAGAAACCACACAGAGATATATCGATGATACTCCATGTGGATTTCCGATTACTAATGATTGCATCGACAAACTAAAACGACAACCAAAACAAAAGGGGAGGGGCGTCATTTTCACCCTTGACATTGAGACGAAATCGCGGCATCACCAGACAATCGGGCGGAGCGCTAACGGGCCGCAAATTTCTTTGGCTCTGACCGTAGTCGCCGTCATCGTCGTCGTCATCCTCTTCACTGGAGCTGCTGTGGCACAGTGCGGCGCCCAGGGAGATCGACTTGCTCATGGGGCTGAGATGACGACGCTTTCGCTGGCGCCTTACCAGACCATGCTCCGCACTGGAGGCATCGCTGTACGAGGTCTTTCGCTGCTGGGCTAGCTGCCCAAAACGCGGTAGTCGCTTGGTCCGCTCCCAGTTGCTAACGGCGCTGCTGTAGAGCTGCTGCAGCAGGGGAGTTGGTGCCCGCTGGCCGGTGGACAGACAGGTGTCGGAGCGTGAGAGCTCCACATCGGCCGACGGCAGGGTCAGGAACTGTGCCCACTTACCCTGATCGTTGAAGTGCTTCTCGTAGTCCGCCTCCGACCATTGCGTCTCATGCGACACCGGCAACGGTTCACCCACATAGCTGGCCGAGGGAGCTGTTCCCGTGCTGCTGTTGGAGCGCAGCAGGAGAGCCGAACATCTTAGGGATAGCTCTAGGGCATCCATCCAGCATTTGCCAGCTGCCTGACTGGGAGCCCGGAAGATCAGGTAAGCGGTTGGCAAAGGCTGTACAACGGCACCTTAGAATATAAAATATTTTTATTAACTTAGTTATATTGTTTTAGTAAATATAATATATACCGATGGTTTCCTTATCGGGTCCTCGTGGCGCCCAAATCGATTGCTCCAGGGGATGGAAGAGCTTAAAGCAGAAGCCATCCTTTTTGCTGGGACGTTCGATCACCTGGCAGGAGGTGAGCATTACCGTGCCCACCCAGTGATTGCTCTTGGTCTTTTGACTTTTGTAAATGAGCAGCAGGCCAGGCTTTAGCACACACCAGAGTTTTGTCCAGGACTTGAGAGTACCTCGAACCTAAAGTTGGAGTAATTCAATTAAATAAAAGATATATTTGGGTGAATCTAGCAGTTCTTGCTTACCTTTAGCCAATCGGCTAGGACTATAACCGCTGGATCCTGCAGGGAATTCATCAGCTCACTGGCCACACGCTTCTTCTCACGCCTGTAGTTCTTCCTTTGGGCCTTGTATGACTCCTTTCTATTAAGCTTGGCGGCATCGGCAGCAGACTATTTGGATGTATAGGAAAATATATATAGAATAATTTAAAGTAGTTTTAAAAAACCTAAAAACTAGGACCTTTCTCCCAATGCAGCATTTGAAAATATTTATATACTTGAAATACATTTGCTGTAAGTATTTCGTAATAAGTTCTAGTTTTTCGTGTTTGGCCCAGCGATTGCGCCAAATGTTCAGCGACAATTGTGCCCATTTTGGAGTAAGCTTTTTTAAAGGCGAAATCCGAGACGCATTGTTAATCTAATTAGCATTTATAATTTGCTTAGTGAAATATTTGTCACTTCCTATGACCGGAATATCATATCATATCATTGCATGTGGCACCAAGAGGTCTATATATGTATGTATATTTACTATTATTTATCACAGAAAGTCGGCACATCGATTATAACTAAATTAGACAACGGACCGGAGCTCTGTTCTTATCGCACAACCAGAATTTAGTTCCACAAATTTTAAGTATTATATTTTCACTTGCCTTATCTGCCAGATTGCCATCCCGACTATCCGAGGCCCAATTTGCGATTCCTGCAATATGGAAAATCATAGTTTATGTATGGTGTTTCAGGGCTATAATGAATATTGAGTGAGATGATGTTGTGTTTATATATAGTAGACATGATGATTTTAATTCCAAGAAGTAGTATCTAATCGACCTCTAGTCGTTTTTACGATCCAGAAACGAGACCAAACAACGGGAAAAGCGCGAAAAATCCAAAATACATAAAAAGAAGAAGACTAAAAACAAGAGATATGTAAATAAAATAAAAAGCACACGCCAACTATGTCTCAAGGTGCGAGGTTACTCTTGGGGGTAGGCAAAGGGGGCAGCATCGAGGGCAGCGATTTATTTATTTTACGAATATGTTTTATTTTATTTCACAACGATATACACAGAGAGAGGGAGAGAAGATTCTCTCTTGGGTCTTTTTGGGGTCTCAAAGATCTTCGACTTTTTCTCGCATTGTCAAGTGCCTCGCACTTGCACTTTAAGCATCGCCGCTGCCCTCGTGTGTCTTTTCACATTCTTATTAATTATTTTTTATTGCTCAGCTAAAAATAAAGGCCGCCCAAAAACCGCCACAAGCAATATTTGAATATGCACAGCACACAACCACACACACACACACACATGAAACAACACAAAATGTGGTGAATTAATTAATTCCCTTGGGATATAATGGTTTAATAATTGTCACTTGCTTTGTAGGAGATTCATGACCACTAAACTGCGACTCTCCAAAATATTTCTTATTATTTATTTTTGCATATTTTGTTGTGTTTTGCTCATTCACGTTTTTTTCTCTTTTGTTTCATTTGTTTTCTTGCAGGGCGGTACTACATGGCGTATGCGTGATGCGAGAACCGATTTCGAGACGAAGCCGACGTAGGTTTATTTAATTTTTTGCAGTTTCCCTTTCTTTTCTAATTTTTTGTTTTTTCTGTTTTTTTGTATTCTTTTTAATTTTCTGCCTGCCGCTCGTCCGCTGGCCGCTCGCCGACTGATTGAGATATATTATTGAGTCTGCCTGAAACGCGCGCACGAAGCGCAAAAACACAACAAAAAGCACCAAGCAGCCGCGGCAAATGACAAAAGCACTAAAGCAGCGACGCTAGCAGCTCTGTCGCTGCGCAGTTGCAGCGCAGTAGCTGAGGAATACTCTAAAAAAAACTATTATCTCTCTCGTCATATATTTTTGAAAGATAAAAACTAAGCAAAAAATACTAGCCAAGCCGAAAAATTAAAATGAGAGGAGGATCATCTCTGTAGCGGTCACTATGTCTCTGTCTCAGTTGCTGCCAGCAAGTTTGAAAGTACAGTGGAAGCTCCTTATAATGAACTATATACATCATATACTATGACTGCTCTTAATTTTATCGATGTTTTTATAAAATTTTAACTTGAAAAACTAAAAAAATAGGAAAGATCTTGGTCTGATTAAGAGTGTCTTCTATGGATACATTTTTCCATATATAATAAATGGTTTGTCTAGAAATTATGTTTTATTGACTTTAGGATTGAGTAACCACCATAAATAGTATTATTATTATATACTATTTTAAAGAGAAATACTAAAAAATTAATAAAATCTTCAAGGGTCTCTTTCACGAAGCTATTCTCTGTTATAAAAAGTTAATGGAAGAATTAATCAAAGCCTTAGAAACGTTTGTTTTGGAGTTACCTAATGCTCTGCCTTAGTTAAAAATACACCTGAAACTTAACAAATATATAGGTTTTTATCTGCTTAAAAAAATTTTATATATTAATATAATGCCCTCCGTACCTTTTCCTATTTCTCCTAACACCATAATCAATTAATTAAAAGTACATTGCAATGCAATCTACCTTGCTTTCTTTATAATTTCACTATATCGATTGTGCCCAGTACTAGGTTGTACATACATGGACACTTTGTGTACTTTTTTTCCACCCAGATAATGATATCAGTGCTGTCTTTTCTCTCCAACACAAACCCAGCCAAGAGAGAGAGAGAGAGAGAGAAACTCTCGCAACGATATCTATATGGGGTTATTAGCAAGTCCCACTGATATATGACCTCATCCTCCTAATGTTTGGTAGCAAGCAAAAAAAAGCTTAAAATTGTTTCCTCAGACCATAAAGATCATCTTAACCTATCCCAAGATGAAAAAAATGTAAATAGTATTTAGAAAGTCTCTAAAAATAAAAGAAAGAAGTGATTATTTGGAAAGTTATTTACTTTTTTAATTAATAGAATGATACATTGAAGGTCTATTAACTAATAGTTGTGTCATACAAATATGTGAGTCAAAGTCCAAGATATCACAGTAAGTCACTCCCCCTAGCAACTTCCATAAATAGATAAAATGTATCTCACACCTGTTGATGTTATGTAGGCCATGATATGAGGAGGATCCACCAGAAACTAACAGGTGTGCAGCAGAATTGATATCTAGATTTTGAGCATTACTCATCGCTGAAATCAGAACGAACCCTATCAGTAGATAAAAGAAAATGTTTTGCCGGCTGATGATTTGTCACAAAACATGACTTCCCATAAATCCAACACAACCTGAATGAGTCAATCGTTGGGCTACTCAATAGCCCCTCTGGGGAAATCCTTGACTCGTTTATGCTATCAACGAAACCGATTAGTATTGTGTGGCCAAATTAGCTCTTATCGAGGTGCAAAACTTTCTGGCTGTAAAACTCTAATGAATGTCATAACTAGTCGCTGATAAGATATGATTAGCATGGCAGGCATTTTATCCAGGGTCCTCGGCCACAGCACAAGTTGAGTGGCAGGGCACTTTAAGTTTTATTAATAATACTCTCGCACCGAACAATCGCAAAAATCGTTTTGATAATAATGCGGACAAAAACAATACCACTGCGCCCACAAAAACAAAAAAAAAAAAACTGAAAAAAAGCGCAGCAACAAAAGCTTTCTAAACAAAAAATAATAATAAAAGGCCAAATGCGTCACACCGAAATTGGAACGCATGGCTGGTCTGGGTCTGGTCTGAATCTAGGGAGGAGCGGGTGATGCCTCTATGGGAAATGCATACAAATAGCTCCGTTTCAGCCAGGTTATGTATTTTATTTTTTGGTTTGCGGATCAGGTGATAATCATGAACATTACGAACGTGCTGATCATGTAAATGAAAGCCAAAAAAAAATATATTCTAGCCTTATGATGGGTAAATGATGATTATTTTTAGGATCGTGCCGATCGTTCAAGTCTAAATAGTGTACTTTATATGAGATGATGGATGGAGAAGTGCCACGGATGTTGTATAACCGATAATTGATGGAATGTGAGGATATATATTATTCTATAAGGCAATGAAGTAATGTATATCAAAAAGGCTTTTAATGGGAAGTACTTATGGAAGCATTAAATGTTCTAAACAGATGATCATGGAAAATATGAAAGATATGATCTATGATCTATGATATATGATCTATGATCTATGATCTATGATCTATGATCTATGATCTATGATCTATGATCTATGATCTATGATCTATGATCTATGATCTATGATCTATGATCTATGATCTATGATCTATGATCAGTAAATAAAAGCAATGATCTATTTAAAATACTTTCTAATAATAAATTTTTATAGATACTTTCTTAATAATAAGTTATCATTAGATGATTATGAATATAAAATAAAAATGATAAAGTGATCAAATGCAATGGGATCTACACTTGTTCTAACTGTGCTTAAATTTTCATTTGATTTTTAATTTTCATAAATTTTCTTTTTGTTTGAAACTTCACCTGGCGATGATGGCGCTGGACTGTTGCTCAAACTATCCGTGGACGGAAGTTTGGTCATGAGAACTTTTAGCGAAGGTCGCCGTTTGAATTTGAAATCGAATACTGAGGAGCAGATTTAGCAGCACACACACATATATATACGGGGAGGGAGAAAGAGAAAGCGAGCAATATGTATATAGATATATATATATTATATATAGGATTATAGGCTTATAGATCTTAGGTCACTGGTACAGACAGCTTTACGAATATTACGTATACGACACTTAGACACTGACACATTGTACACGGGAATCTTAAGGATAGTCACACGCAGACACACAAGTTAATATAAGGACATACATCTACTACTAAGTTGGAGACAGTTATCTACACTGAGGACAATCAGGGTATGTATTGATAACATAAAAATTACATTTTAAAGAAGAAAGCAACTAAGGTTTTAAAGCATAAATAATTAGGTCACACCAATATATACATGGTTTAAAATCTGATATTATCAGTTTTGATATGTGTTTATATAATTTACAAATAATTTGGGAGTTCAGCACACAAAAACTTGTTGAATTTAATGAAAATTAAAATCCCAAACTAAAATAAATATACATAACTTTAATTTTATCAATGAAATTCGAGTCCCCTTCTCCCTATTTTATATTTTTTAAATAAATCTCAACAAAGTTGATATAATTTACTCTTCCAAGTTTCAACTTATCACAGTTTAGACTGAGTAAATCCTTGACAAGGCTAAGCTCTAATACACTTGATCCAATCGGGTGGCGTGAGGAGGACATGGCTCGAGACAACGCCTTCGACGGGCGCACATCCATTACCATTACGGCCTTAATTATGGCCGCTCATCAATTGTCTGGCTATCGGACATGGGAGCTCAGCACGCAGCTTTCGTTCGTTGAGGAGCGCCTTGGAGGCGCCCGCCCGGCTGGCGGTAATTAAGATTGCTATGGCCGATGGCGATGCAGATGCCTCATGTTGATAGGATGCCCGGATTGCCCTGATTGATTTTAAATAAAGCGCCATCGCCTAGCAGGCAATCAATTTACGCAATTAGAGCACGCCTCCGTTCTTTCGGATAGTTCAAAGTTCAGCCTCAATTTCCGCTGCCCACAACATTTGCCATGTACCGAAAGAAATGTTATCAGACATTTGGGAAATTGTGTAAAGATGAGCTTTAAGGGATGAGGGATGCTTGACATTTATTATTGCTATTGATATCACTACATAAAGAATACAAGAAAA